GACACATACTATAGTATGACTTCTAAACTGATGAAAAATGACACATACTATAGTATGACTTCTAAACTGGTGAAAAATGACACATACTATAGTATGACTTCTAAACTGATGAAAAATGACACATACTATATAGTATGACTTCCAAACTGATGAAAAATGACACATACTATAGTATGACTTCCAAACTGATGAAAAATGACACATACTATATTATGACTTCCATTATTTTTAGTTTTACCAAATTTGCTGTGAGTGACAGCCGTCAGAACGGCTTCAATGTGCAGCCGCTTTGCCCAGATCCCCTCACATTTCTGCTGAACGTCCTCCAAATTATCATTCTAGAGACATGATCGATGACTCAACCTGCAGAGTCACACTGTCTTTGCTCAGCTTGCAGCTCGTGTGTCAGCACAAGCCCAACGATTCAAAGACATCACGCGGGCCTTAGACTTTGGTTTTTTATATACAAAGAGAAAACTGAACGTGTGCGTACCGTTTGTTTTTGATGCAGTTCTTTATTTTGTGTGGTAGGAAACATGCTGGAGTGGTGTCTGCCCAAAGACATGGACCTGGAGGGAGTGGAGTTCAAAGCCATCGCCAGCGGCTCCCACAGAGTCACCACAGACTTCATGTAAGTGTTTCCGCAGGCGCAGCCTTCTGGTTGTGCTTTCTGCTTTTCACGACTCGCTGCCCGTCACGTTTCCCTCCCTCCTCCGTTTTCCACAGCTACTTTAGGAAGGGCCACTTCTTCGGCCTCGCTTGCTTTGCCAACATGGCCGTGGAGAGTACAGAGGAGAGGGGGGCGAGGATGAAGTCTGTAGGGATCCTGTCTCCTTCCTACACCCTGCTATACCGCTACATGAGCTTCCTGGAGCACCAAGTCAGGTGAGAAAGACAAGCTGAAGCGCCTGTAAGCTTAAATGAGCAACAAACCTGGGGTTAGAACTGCAGCTCATTATTGTTTTCATTTCAGAATAAAAACAAAAATTATGAACTTGTTGCTTTTCGTGCATTTTCGCTGCTGCGCTGAACTGGAATAAAAACAAAACCAAGACAAAATGCCGCAGGATTTAGCAGAAATTTGCAGGAGAGACTAAAACTAAGTTTTAGAAGTTAAAACAAGACCAACAGTGGCTGAGCAGAGCGAAACAGAGACTAATATGAGCAAAACACAAGCTGAAATGAGCAGAACTAGCTAAAGTAGTAAAACACAAGTTAAACAGGTACAACATAAGCTAAAATAAGCAGAATATCAGCAAGCCAAATTGAGCAAAACAAGTTAGCAGCAGAACACATTCTAAAAACATCTATACTGTAACAAAAACATCAAAACGGTGGCTAAATTTAACAAAAGAGATGCTAAAGCCTAAATTCATAAAACAAATACCATTAGCTAAACAGCTGGTAAATGTTGCAGAACCACAAGTAGCAAAACACACAAAAAGTATCCAAATAACAATGAAACTTTAAAGAGTAGAACGTAACTAGTATCTGAAATCAGCAAGACAGATGCTAAAATGAGCAAGAGGCGCTAAAATTAGTAAATCACATGCTAAAGTTAATTTTGTTAATACTGTAGATACAATCAGCAAAAAACAGTAGCTGAAATAATCCAAACAGAGGTGCTAAAGTTAGTCAAACAGAAACTAATTTTGTTAATGCTGTTGATAAAAATCAGCAAACTGAAATAAGCCAAACAAATGCTTAACTAATATTGTTAATGCTATTGACAAACTCAGCAAATTAGTAGCTGAAATAAGCCAAATAGATGCTAAAGTTATCAAAACAAATGCTAAAATGGGCAAAACAGCTGCTGAAACTAGCGAAACACATGCTAAAGGTAAAACTGGCAATACTGTAGCTGAAAGCACTGATCAAATGGAGAAAACGCCTCGTTGCATGTGCAGGAAACACCTTGAGCACACGACACGCCTGGCAGCAGCTCGGACCGGGTCTCAGTGTGGACCCAGCAGCTGCACCCGGACCGTCTTTTTAGCTTTTTTGCAGTCCTTAACGATGACAAAGCAGATCTGACAACTGTTCAAACCGTGGACTCTCAGAGAGCCGAGATGTTTCTAAGCAGCTGCAGAGAAACGATCAACGTTCAGACAAATCAAAGCTTTAGTTCTCCTTAGGCGCCACAATTCTTTTCCGCAGTGTATTTCGGCCACTGTTCTTTCTTTGGTCTTCCATCACAAGTCGTGTCACACTTGTCTCACACTTTTGCTTCGAGAGCTCTTTGGACACAAGTCTCTCCTGCAGCGACCAGGCGTCCCTCTTATTGTGGGACTGCGAAGAGTTTTGATCTTCAGAGAGCGTGAGCGAACTCTGCAGAGGAGAAACTGTTCTGTATCTGCAGCACGGAGATGTTGGAGTAGATCTGGGTTAGGAAAGAAACTCACGGTCTCAAGGCAGAAGTTCTTCTGTTAGAGTCCCCAGACCGTTAAATCAAACGAGCGTAAAAACAGACGGAGGTTTGATCAACCAATCAGGTTTGGAGGTGGAGTCAGCAGGTTTTGTTTTATTTATTTATTTCCCACAAGTTAGCAGCTGATTGAAGGGGTAACTAGTATTGAGCTACTAAAAAGAGAAATATTGCTGTGAAATTATCGTTCTTTAACCGCTCAATAAAAAGGAGTATCTGCCGGGGCGCAGACTGTTGGAGACCAGTTAGCAAACAGGATTTGCGAGCAAGTCTCCAAAACGTCGTCGTAGTTCCTTAATTCCGAGGTTAGCCATCTTGTCTTTGAGTTCTGAACACGTTAAAACATCTTGTGCAACTTAGTAGTCCCAGGATTACTGTGGTCACGTCAAAGTTGAAGTTTTTACGACTGTAAGAGCTTTAAAGACATCCAGCTCTACGGCCTGAACGCTGAGTTTTATAAACGCACAGATAATAAATGAGAATTATTTAAAAACGGCTACGTGTTTTCATTTCATTAGTGTGGATTAAATCAAAAACATGGAGGCGGCTGCCTAAGGTGGGTACGAATTGATCTGAGGTGGGTAAAATGTGGGCAAATAAATAATGTGTGTAGCCAAGAATACAGTTTGGCAACTGGCTGCACAGAACGGGCCTTGTGGCTCGTTGGTCTCACATTCAGCAGGTGTGCACCTACATTCTTAAACTGTCTTGTGATATAGAGTTTCCATCCAGCCTCTAACATTTGGTTGGTCCCTCCCCAGGCTCCAGCTCCAGTCCCCTGGGCACTACTCCCCACTAGAGGCCTTCTATGAGGACAAGCGAGCTCTGCTGCCCCCCAGTGGAGAGATTGTGGTTACTGCATTACCCGCCAACTCCTGGGGAGCGCCTATAAACCACAGCATGCACCCTGAAATGAAGGTGGGAGCGTCTGAGAGCCTCGGTTGTTTTATGGCGTTGTGTCATAAACTTACCGACAGTTTGGTAATGACAGAACGTGTCTGTTTGGAGTAGATCACTCATCCGGCGGGCTGCATGTCCCAGTTCATCCGCTTCTTCGGAGAGCAGATCATGGTCCTTTGGAAACTGGCGCTCCTCCGCAGACGCATCCTCATCTTCTCTCCTCCACCCGTGGGCGTGGTCTGCTACAGAGGTACCAAAACGTCCACATTTAGTCACAAAAGCTTGAACGTGTGATAAAAAGCAGCTGTCCATACCGTCTGCTGCTCTCCTGTCAGTGTACTGCTGCTGCTGCCTGGCGAACATCTCCATCCCCGGCGTCGGCGTGGCCGTGCCCGAGTTCCGACCCTTCTTCTACGTCAACGTCGCGGACATCAGCGTTCTGGAGAACGAGCTCTCCTACGTCGCATGTAAGAGGTCGTTTGAAACGCTTTAACCCCACAATACAATTTTGTACAAGTCCCAACAGCAGCTGCGGCTGCCGTCCCGCACGTTTAGGTACGACCGAGAAGATCTTCGAGGAGAAGAAAGATCTCTACGACGTTTACGTGGACAATCAGAACGTGAAGACCTACAGGGACGGCCTGAAGCCTCTGCTCCGCCTCAGCGCCGCAGACAGAGAGAAGTACCGCAAGCTGACGGAGCAGAGGTAGGACACCAGCAGCCGTCTTTAACCTCGTTTAAAGTTCTGTGCACAGATCTAAACACGGCTGTGTGCGCAGGCAGATGCTGCTGTACTCCCAGGAGAACGGAGACTGCGCGTCCAGCGAGGAGGACCTTTTCATTTTGTAAGTACAAACTCAGTAATGAGCTGCTTGTTGAAAACAGCCACAACAAAAAAAAAATCTGGCCTTTTCTCTTCTTGAGGTTTTTCCTGGAGCAGAACAACAGGATTTTCCAGACTCTGAGCGAGGTGGCCGGGAGCTCAGACCCCACCATCACTCAGGAGAGCGTGAGGGCCATGGGTCTGGATCCGCACGGGGACCGGCTCTTCCTGCTCCACCTGCTGGAAATCTACGGCTACGACAGCCTGCTGGTCTCAGAGCAGCTGTGCTGCAGCTGAGACGCTCCACTGCCGAGTCTGGACCTGCTGCAGGGCCACCAGAGTTGCATTTAGCTGTTTTATTCATCTGCTCCGTTACAAACGGATTATCTGAACAATAATGGTTTCGGTTTGCTCTCGCCGATGAGATGATTTGAATGCTGCCGCAGCGTCTCGGTCCTGATCCGTGTTCTTAAAACGACCAAACTGCACAGACAGAGCCGAAGACAAATCCAGGGACGAGTTCGGTGATCCTTCACTGAAAATGAAATCACGAGTTAAAAGGAGTCGGATGTTCCTGTAAATAATTTGTCCGTGTGTGATAAAAGTCTCCCATTGTTGCGCTTCAAGTGCATTTAAGCCTCTGTATTAAAAAAAAAAAAAATGAGGGCGTTGTTTCTTGTCCAACAGCCTTTGGCTCGACAAATCATGTCTGTAACGCGACGACTGAAACGGCGATGAGAATGTTTTTATAAACATTTAGCTTTCTGTAGTTTTGGGGGATATTTTAGCTACACAGTAACAAGAGTATTTCAACTTCCAACAAGTGAGTTTAAACAACTTATAATTTGAGTTTTTTAATGGAACAAATTGAAAATTAAAACTGTGCAGTAAAAGTGCAAGGAACTATCTTCGAACACTACAGATCCCCGTTTTAATTTCAGAAAACGAAGTTCTCTCTGCTTTAGTTCACTCAGAATGTTGTGAATCACTTTTGCACCACACTTTCTGCTTCTTCCCCGTGTTGCGTTGAGGTTTAGTGCATTTGTTTTCAGATCACGTTCAGCTGGTGCGCTCCTTGCTGCACAATCTAAACACGACCGCCCACCACAAACACAGCGGGCGCAACAGTGACAAAGAAAAACGAGCATTGTATCAGGAAGGAATTACGTTCAGGACTATTTTTAAATCAATGACAAGTTGGGCTTTTGTTACAATCACTTTAAAAAAAAGTTCCTATCCTGAACCGGGTGGTACTCTACTAAAATAAAATGAAAAAATAAACAAAAAACATCGATTTCAACATAAAGCTCAAATAAGTATCCATTATTTTACATGAAGTGATTTGTGTATTTTCATATTTGATCAAAAGTGCAAAGCAACAGATCAGACTATTATTCACAGGCTAATTACCAATTAGCGCAAATGCTAACTTGTTTTAAACGGCAGAAGTTATGGTCTTTATAAATTGGAAACTTATACACAAATCAAATGCTTCAAAGTCATTACTAAGAATAGACAGGTTATATTTATTTACAAAGATGTGAAAACAGATTTACAACAGGTTTTACTTTCTACGGCAACATAAATGGAACAAACTGCACCAAGCAGCAACTTCATTTCCTCCCTTAAATTAGCAACAGAGTAAAGTTCAATTATACTTTTTTTTTTAATCGATTAATAATTAATGTTTACATAATGTTTAAGCTCCAACCCATGCTAGCTTTCAGGAGATTTATATAGTTCACGTTGAATGCGTGTCACAAACATGCAAACTTTTTTTATTTTTTATTATTCATGCAGTAAATTTACACAAATATGACCCGTTTTTCACCTCTATAAAACAAACTCATAAAACATTAAATGTGGATGGAGGGACGTCTTTTGTTTAGCAGCGCAGTTTGAGGCGCACATCTCCCTTCTGCAAGAACTTTGTGAATTAGACTAATGAACCGTTCCTGAGTAGCAACATGCCCAGATTACTTTATTAAATATGGGCTTCTGTAGTTGAAAGTCGCTGGTAGTTTGTAAAAAAATAAATAATACAATCTGCATCTAGCTTAAGCACAGAGAAATGGGACCTATCGGGTAGCAGGAGCAGCTTCTTCACATTTCAGGTTTTAATTTAAATTCACATAAAAAGGAATAAACAAACAGCTTTGGGTCCATTCAGTTCAGCCAGAATGGCTTTACAGATCTGGTAAATTCTAAAATAATTACATAAAGATGAACTGATTTAGAAGCTCTTCCAATAAAACTTTTTAATTCAATTAAGCTTTTAGTCAAAATATGCTTCAAACAATCTAGGTATTTTCCCCACCTTACTAGTATTTTGTTTTCCATTTATTTAACTGTTTGATTAGCTGTAAAATCCGTTTTATTTTCATGCAACAAGATCAGGTGAATGTGTTTCACGCAGCATTTATGATCTCCAGGAGCCTCCGTCACTGCTACTGTTCATTAAAATAAAGTTTCCACACACCTTGTACAGAGCTGAAGTAAACATTTTTGTAGTTTAATATAGTCTTCACATGTTAAAACATTCACTTTATTTATTTTACTGCAAACCATTTCAGAAATAAAGTGCACAACCACTTAATGAAAACACGCCTCCGTTGCTCATTTCAAACAATCGTATCTACGGTAATCGTTTTCGTGTTTGGAGCCCCAAACTTTGTTCCCGCCGATCACAGGGTTCTCATCACGGAAAGTTTCAGTGCCGTCAGCCAGTTCTGCTTGAGGTCCAGATCGTCGCAGGAGAATATGTGACAGGTTCTGGACTGTCTGAGACAAAAACAGTGCTGTCCTTGGATGAGCTCCTCTATGGCACAGCCGAGGAGCGGCACGGTGACCTGAGGCTTCTCATCCTGGAGAAACGAGTACATAAAGGATGTTAGGGATCATTCAGACCTTTTGAAGTGGATTCTGTGGAAAGGTTAAACCAGCCACTAGGGAGCACGAGCCAGTCCCAAGCCCGGGTACATGGTGAGGGTTGTGTCAGGAAGGGCATCAGACGTCACACACTGCAGCCAAAATTAATATGCAAGTTCATCTAAGCAACACCTTACTGGATCAGTCAAGGCCCGGGTTAATGACCTCCACCAGTGCCGGCGGAAGTTGTGCTACTGTTAGTCGAAGACCACAAGGAGGGAAACGTGTCAGAAGACAGAAGGAGGAGAGGAAAGTCAAGAATGTAGGACTGAGGGTTGCAACTCTAAATGTGATGATAATGACAGGCAAATGTAGAGAGCTGGCTGACATGATGCTGAGAAAGAAGGTAGAGGTTTTATGTGTCCAAGAGATCAAGTGGAAGGGCAGCAAGGCTCACAGCATTGGAACAAGGTTCAAACTGTTTTACAATGGTGTGTGTATAGAAAGAGAAATGGAGTAGGGGTAGTCCTGAAGGAGGAGTTTAGAAAGAATGTAGTAGAGGTGAAAAGAGTGCCCAGTTCATACTTATCCAGCTCTCTGCTAGCCCAAACATATGGTTAATGGACAGAGATGAGATTCTTAGTAGTAAAAACATCCATAACCTTTGACCAAACATTCCCTAACAAAGAAAAAATAATAATAATAAATAAAGAGTAAAATCAAAAACCAAATGTTGGAAGCTGAAGAAGGAAGAATGTTGTGAGAAATTCAGAGAAGAGCTGTTAAAGGCTCTGGGTGGTAAGAAAGAGCTTCCAAATGACTGGGCTACTACAGCAACGGTAATTAGAGAGACAGGTAGGAAGGTACTTGGTGTGTCATCTGGACAGAGAATAGATGATAAGGAAACCTGGTGGTGGAATAGTGAAGTGCAGGACAGTATTCAAAGAAAGAGATTAGCCAAAAAGAAATAGGACAGTGAGAGGACTGAAGAGAGGAGACAAGACTATAAGGAGATGGGACATAGAGCAAAGAGGAAGGGGGCAAAGGCAAAGCAGAAGGCTTATTATGAGATGCATGAGAGGCTGGACACTGAAGAGGGTGAGAAGGACTTGTACCAATTGGTGAGATAGAGGGATCAGGCTGGAAAGGATGTGCAGCAGGTTAGGTTTGTTAAAGATAGAAATGATAATGTTCTAACAGAAGAGTGTGATGGGAGGAGTACTTTGAGGAGCTAATGAATGAAGATAAAGAAAGAGAAAGAGTAGAGGTCAAAGAAACTGTGGACCAGGAAGTGGGAAACATTAGGGAGAGTGAAGTTTGGAACTCTATGAACAGAATGAAAGACAGAAAGGTAGTAGGACTTGATGACATACTAGTGGAGGTTTGGAAATGTCTTTGAGAGATGGCAGTGAGATTGTTGACTAAATATTCAATGGCATATTTGAGGGTGAGAAAAAGCCTGAGGAATGGAGAAGAAGTGTGCTGGTGCCCATTTTTAAGAACAAGGGTGATGTACAGAGTTGTAGCAGCTACAGGGGAATTAAGTTGATGAGCCACACAATGAAGATCTGGGAGAGAGTTGTGGAAGCAAGACTTAGACGAGAGGTGACTATCGGTGAGCAGCAGTATGGTTTCATGTCAAGAAAGAGCACCACAGATGCCATCTTTGCTTTTAGGATGCCGATTAAGAAGTACAGAGAAGGTCAGAAAGAACTTATTGTGTCTGTCATCTGCTTTTTCTAAATCTTCAAAGTGTTGATGAAGGAGGTGTGGTATTGTATGAGAAAATCTGGAGTGGCAGAGAAGTATGTTAGAATGATACACGACATGTATGAGGACATCAAGACCGCATCAAGGATCGGCTCTGAACCCCTTCTTGGTGATGGACCGACTAACAGATGAGGTCAGGCAGGAATCCCCATGAACCATGTTTGCGGATGACATTGTGATCTGTGGTGAGAACAGGGAACAGGTGGAAGAGAACTTGGAGAGGTGGAGGTATGTACTTATAGTATGCAGTTAGAATTGAAAAAATTACATTTCACTGCTGTTATGTACTTAAAAATATCTTACCAGTTTAGTTTTAAATATTTTACGCAAGGCTTAAATTTCAATGCAAATATTTTAATGCATTTCTTTCCCTTTAATGTATTGTGTGTGTGTTCAAATCCATTTCTCTGATTGTGAGTTGCCACTTTCATTGTTCATTAAGTCTCAACAGAGCCCCAGTAAAAACAAATTTAAAAAATAAATAAAAACGTTTACTTTAAAAAATATTAAAGTAGAAGCAGTGACTACCTTTTCCACTTGACACAACTGGTCGAGTGTGGGTTTGTGGGCAGGTTACAAGTCTATAGCAGTATACCGATAGGAAAGACGCAAAAATAAAAAGTTCTGTCGCCATTGTTGGTAGTAGTAAACGCATACAATGAAGAGGCTAAATAACTGTTAGCTAAATAACTATGCCAGAATGTTACTGGACTGCAACTTTTGGAGACATGTGGCGACTTAAAACTGCATGAAAGTAGGCAAAAAATTAATACAAGTTCAAAAATGCCTGTGACTATGCTAAAGCTCAACAAAAACCAGCAACAAACCCAAGAATGGTCAGAGACGCCTGGGACAAGCAAACCCAAGAGGTTTCAGATGCCTGCAGTTGAGAGACATCTTATATTTTGCACAAGTTAAAAATTCAAACACCACTGAGCTTCTGTGAAAAACTGAACCCGCACAATGAGACATTTGAAAGTCCATCGCAAATGCTGTTCTCCAACTAGTTTCCAACTAAAGCCCTGTAGGCTGTTAACTTTACCAACAAAACTTGATTTAAAAAATGTTTTAAAATTCAATGCAAGGTTGTAACAACTAAACAGAAAATACCAAGGAGGTAAATAACTCAGAAACTGTTTTGGCCTGAAGGTTTTCCTTTCTTGGTCAGCTGCTAGTTGCACAACAGACCTCGGCTCAGCCATTTTTGTTTTCCTACATGTTGACAGAACCTGACTAGCAGCAAAAAACTAACACATTCCCCAATGTAGGAAAATTACTTCAATTTACAAAATCTTCAGAAAATAAAAACCCGAGTTCATTACCTGCGGAGTAGCGTACACGTAAAAGACCGGAGTTTCCGTCTCGGTGAGAACGCACCACACTCGTCGCCAAATCATGGAGCTGTCGCCGTACAGAAGGTAACTGCTCATGACGCTGCTCTGGGGGCTGGGATATGTATCAAACTGTGACGACACCCAGAGACAAACACGGTCAGGACGTGGTTGGGCAGAGTTTTCTCAGTGCGACAACGAAGAAACAAAGGTTTGAAACAATGGATGCAAACATTACAGAACATCCACGAAGCTCACCTCCAACATTCTTCTCTTCTTCCTGTCCGTCCTCTCACCCCTCTGGTTCGTCAGGATGAAGTAACAGGATTTACACACTTTATTCAGCTTGTTGCCATCGTATTCCAACGCCACTTTATTATCCGAGCACTTCCAACACACCACCTGAGCGAACAGAGAGCTTTAACACGACCGTTCCGTTTAATTTATTCTACATCAAGCAACGCTTCTTGTTCCTTACGTAGCCACAAGCTCGACAGTGATGTCTTCTCCTGGTGAGGGAGTTAAAGGGCTCCCTGCAGGTCATGCACAGGGTCACCTCGTTGTCTCTGATCCAGCGAGGGGCTCGTCGGCCGAGTTCTTTCACCTGTTCGACACGTAACGCGTCATAATCAGGGCGGTATTTCAACTCTTTAATGAAAATGACGAGAATTTACTAGATTCAACCTACAGGGTCTTCAAGATGTAGCTCCCTGGAAGCCATTTTGAAGGTTTCATTTTTCTTCTGAAATGTGTCTATGGCTTCCTGAATCACCTGCGGACCAAAGTTCTTCTGAGAAATTGCAACAACTGAGCTTTTTTCCTCTCTAAAGAACGGTAACAAACCTTTATCCAACTGTCTCGGTCCTCTTCACAGCTTCAACAGAGAAAAACACAAAAGAGTGTTTCAGCATCGTTATCTAGATTTAACAATCCATTTTAATTAAAAGGACCACCATTCCTTTAAGATTTACATCTACCCCTTTTATGCCAAAGATTTTAATTAAAATAATCTTACACGGCAAGATAATGGAGTTATAAATGATTTGGTCAAATCTTCAAAACAAAATCGCAAGACGTCACTAAGAACATGGTTTGGAGAGGACGCTCAGATACTACCACACCAATTTTCAGCTCGGTGTCTAAAATTAGCCAGTTTTTGGTTTGATAAGATCAACCACAGTCCAGTCACTGGACGGATGTTTTGTAGTATTTAAGATGGTTTTTCCAAGTTTTTCTGGACTGTAGAAGACCTACATTTTGCTGGGCGATTAATTGTGATAAACGATAATATTGTTTGAAATTTGACAATATTGTCAAATTTAAGAAGAAATGTTAATTGTTGTGATAGTAAATTTTTTGACCAACGGATGGCAGTATAAGACTGAACTGAAGGATGGATAGTGAGGGAGCGAGCAGCGTGTCTAAGAAAAATGGGAGGGAGGCCCCTTGACGTGACATGGGCTGTCTCTCGTTCCTGTTTTTCAGTTCTCAAAATGGCGGACGCTCGGTGTAGTTTGAGCTCTTTAGCATAGCATTTGTCACACAAAGCTTATAATAAAATATCAGTAAACAAGTTCTCAGCTTTTTTTTTGCAGAGAAAAAACTTTTTAGATGAAGGCATCGGTTTCAACCGTGAATTTTGAAGCTTCGACAAGACGGAGGTTTTTTTCTCGAGGTCGGCCTGTTAGCTTAGCTCGTAGCTTAGCTTCGGCTTAGCTGCTTTTAATGATCCAAAAACACAATTTTGGACGTTAAAACAGATTTTAAAGAGAAAGGGAGGGGTCAGTGAAGAGCACAGTTGAGCCTTTTGTCATCCAGTGTCTTCAGTAGAAAGAGAGACATGAAGAACTGATAAAGTCGATAAATGAAAATGAGGTCAATGATTTTTATTTATCATGCGATCAAATGATTTCTTTTTTATCGCGACAGGCCTAACTGAACAGAGGATGGAAGTGGAGAGGAATTTTGTCCACCACCAGGCACAGAGGTGGAGCCAGGGGGTGGCCAATGGAGGCCTTGACCGCCACAGATTAATCTTGGGCCACCTCAAAGGCCACCCCAATAATTTCAGGAAACTATATTTTTAAGAAATATAAAAACTAGAAAGCAAAGTAAGTTTCTTTCGGCTGCTTCTTTCTTCACAGCAAACTTGCGTAAAAGACTCGACAATTTTGTTTTTGGATGTCCTTCCTGACGTAACCTGGGTTCAAACCCACAACCCCAGGATTACAAGACAGCGGCACTGAGCACCGAGCTACCGCAGCCCCCCATAAAAACTAAAAAGCATAGTTTCCATAAATGATCAGGGTGGCTAGTTTACATATACATGCACGCGCACACACACACACACACACACACACACACACACACACACACACACGGTGGTGACATTTCTAGTTGCTTCACGATGAGGAATCATAAGTGGCGGCCATCTTGAATTGGGTTGAACCAAAAGCTTAGTTGCGTTTCTATAACCAATGATTATTTTGAGGTTTTCATCAACACCGGTTACTCGTGAGATATTTTTCTAACATACAGAGTTGACAGTTACTGCAAAAATTTTAAGCAAAACATGGAGCGCTTGGGAGTACACATAGTGAACGACTCTCCGCTACCACCACCCTAAATTTTATGTCAAGATCAGTAAATTCGACAGAGTTATATCCACCGTTGTGATTTCAAGTCGGCTGTGGCGGCCATCTCGAATCGGATAGTCCGAACAAAGGTAAAAAGTTGTAGATGTACGTCCAATAATTCCTTTGAGAGTTTAATAATCATAATAATAAAGCAATAATTAAGCTGAGAAGTCAAAACCTCTTGGGAGAAAGATCTGTGTTGCTCACCAGGCCTGGAGCTCAAGGGTCCGCTCCTTTCCAGACACCTGGAAGGTGTACGGGTGGTCGTCATTGATGGTCTGGTGGACTTGCATGCCGTCAACCCCAATCCTGCAGCGGACAGTGAATCTCTGCCCAACCAGGCTAAACTTTGGAGAGCAACACAGCAGGAAGTTGTTGAACTATTGGGAGAAAATAAAGTACTTTTTTCAAATTTACATCATTCTGTGCCATTTTGTTTCAAGACATAAAAGTGAAAGTTAAAGAAACTTTTGGTCATTTATGGATTACAGCTGACCAAGAACAGGTATCTCTCCATGGCCGACGTGTTTCTGGCAGCGAGCTTCAGCAGACGACCTTCTCTGAGGAACTCGCTGGTCGGGTTGATCACCTCCTCCTCTCCAACCATCTCATAAATCTCCAGGAGCCGTTTCAGATTCTCCTACAAACAAAACAGCTCTAAAATCCATTTGTTTGGACTAAACTCAAACTAAATGTGCCAACGTTTTACGCAGGTTCAGGACACGCAAATGAATACAACTGGAAGAGTCTAAAACCAAACACAGGAAATGATTCAGTCCCATTAAAAACGGTAAATGGTAGTCGATGCTGTGGGAACGTACGGCTTTGTGAATGGCGCTGTTTGAGTGAATGGCTGCCATGGAAATGGCCTGTAAGGACTCTGCCGAGAGAAAACAAGAACAATAAAACACTGAGGATGGATACAACTACCATATTTTTCAGACTATGAGGCGCATCAGATTATAAAGTGCATTAAGCAAAAAAAAAAGTCAGATAAGTCTAACTTTATTCAACTCATTCACAATAACCACATAAAATAGGTTTGAGGTCGGTAAGCACAACCAGAATTAATACATAAGGCTCAATGTCGATTTTTGAGAAAATTAAAAAGGATTTCAAGTGCACGTTATAATCCGAAAAATACTGTACACACATGATGGAGAGATTAACATGGAAACTGTTCAATTCCTTAGTCAAATCGTACCCATCAGTTTAAGTGTCACAGTACCATTTTGCACCTAACAAAAGCGCATAAACCTGCAGGTGTACAACAATGCATGCATATATTATCAATTTGAATTACAACTTTGATATGCTAATAACCAATAGCTGGAAAACTTGTCAAAAGTTGTAAAGGTGGTATCTCACTGGACTGCAAATAATGACTAGTTGGCAACTCAAATTAAAGAAAAACTGCAAGAAAATGGGAAAGTTTTTGTTGCATATGTAGAGGATAGGTCAAAATATTGGAATTTATTAATAATCAATCTCGTAAAATTACAATCAAAATGTGAGTTCTTTTTATGGGAGTAAAATCATCAAAAATCACTGAGACAAACACTGAATTGAGTTGAACATTTCTGCAACGTTTAATTTGAATATAGTAATTAGGCCTGTAACGATAAATTTTGCTGGGTGATTAATTGTCTCATATTATTGAGATAAACGATAATATTTGAAATTTGACAATAATTACTGTCAAATTTAAGGAGAAATGCTGGTTAATTTGTTTTGAGTGTAGTACCTTTTTTCGACCACTGGATGGCAGTATAAGATGAATAGTGAGGGAGCGAGCAGTGTCTCTAAAGAAAATGGGAGGGAGGCCCCGTGATGTGACATGGGCTGTCTCTCCTTCCTGTTTTTCAGTTCTCAAAATGGCGGACGCTCAGTGCGTTTGAGCTCCTTAGCATTGCATTTGTCACACAAAGCTTTTAATTGGAGAAAAAAAAAAAAATCAGTAAACAAGTTCTCAGATTCTTTTTGGAAAATAATAAATAAAAAAAACTACTTTTTACACAAAGGCACGGGTTTCAACCGTGAATTTTGGAGCTTCGACAAGACGGAGGTTTATTCCCCAAGGTCGGCCTGTTAGCTTAGCGCCTAGCTTAGCTAATTTTAACGATCCAAAAATGTGATTTTGGACGATTATAACAGATTTTAAAGAGAAAAGAGAAAGGAGTCATTGAAGAGAACCAGAGTTGAGCCTTTTGTCATTCAGTGTCTTCAGTAGAAAGAGAGACACAAAGACGCGATAAAGCCGATAAATGAAAATTGGGTTAATTTTATCATGCGATTAATTGATTTATTGTTTATCGTGACAGGCCTAATAGTAATTACTCTAACCATAGAATAAAAAGAGCTTTTTCATTCATTCACCCCTTATTTATACTGGTTAGTCTCAGGTAAGTAGCTTAGATTGAAATACAGGTAAGATAAGTCGATTAATACAGCTTTGGACTTTAACAAATACTTTTGTCTGAGTTTAACCTGTTGTGCTTTAAATGGTGATCTAGGTTAAACTAGCAAATCAGATGAATTTTAACAGTTAAAATTAAGATGGTAAAATAAAGCACAATAATTTTTAGTTAAACTTAATTGAGGTTTGTGAAATAATTTTTTGGAATTAAACCGGCACTCGTCTCGGCGGGGTGAGCGCAAGATCAGCCCTACCAGGTCTGAAGAGTTAGGTGGGACACGGAGCAGAAAGCTGCCTGTGGTGAGGCGACCGTCCAGGTGAAGTGGAGATCTTCAAGGATCGTCATCAGCTGCAAAAGACGGAGTCTTTTTCTTTCTGCATTGGCTCCGAGGTTTCCTGAGTGTTTTACAGGTGTGTGTCAACACCTGCCATTTTTCTTCCAACTGACACCACCTCCCGCTTGAGTGACCTCATCTTTCTGAAAGGGGCGTCTTACTTCTAAAATCTTATCCAATCACACGGCGGCTTTTCAAAAGGGGCGGGCTTACATCTAAAGCTGGTTTGTCTCTTTTGCACAAAGATACCGGTAATATTATTTCTGTCTCAAGGTTCAAAAAAAGGAAGAAGTATAATTAAACCTAAAAAAGTTAAGTCAGGTCCTCTGGATGGATTAAAAAAAAAAAACTTGTTGAAACGTTTCATCTTTTATCCAAAAGACTTCTTCAGTTTGAGGAGCTGCAACAAACTCAGTCTTATAAATAGCACGTAGCATAGATCAACCAATTTGGTGACTTTTGGATAAAAGATGAAACGTTTCAAAAATGTTTTTAGAGGACCTGACTTAACTTAGTTATTTTCTACCTGGATTATTGAGCATGCATCAGGATAATTAAACCTTATTTTTAGTCATTTCAAAACATGTAAACCTTTTTATCAAAAGCACAACATTTTCTAAAAGAATAATGTCGTGATTTACTAATTAAATCACATTGCTGCGTAGACAGCAAGAGTTATATTAAACCAAAATGACAAAAAAAATAATAAAAATAAAAAAAAAATCTCATCATTCCAGAAAATATTTTACAATTAAAAAACAACTTTGATTTCAAACTTAACATTTCATTAAATTACTGCCATTGATTTTTATTGTTAAGCACACAAACAGCTGCTGTTTTTAATTGTGCTTTATAAATAAATTTGACTCGACTCCTGCCCTGCGGAGCACATGACATGAGTCACATGACTCACGGTGGAGAGGGGGACGCCCCCTCCCCATATTTACCGTACACCAGTGGTGTAGTCTACGCGATATGAGAGTACGTTAAACGGTTGTTAAACGCTTCCGTAACAATCTATTGTATGCAGCGCTTGTTTATTACATGACTTGCTATTTATCCAGCAAATTATTGTATAATTAATACTTCTGTATTTACTAAATACTTGAACATATTTTGCTTCGATACCGTTTTATAAATTCTATAACATGTTTTTAATACAATGCCAACCGTTGTACAAAGTTTGTTGTTCATTTATTCAAATGCAAGCACCAGAAAAATGTGGAAATGTTCAATATGCTTAAAAATCAAAATAAACCGTACTAACCAGTGTACTTTGGTTTCTAAGCACAGTATACCCACTACAAAAATGTAGACTACACCACTGCCGTACACAGAAAGAGCTTTTAAACTTGTTTAAATAAGTACTTGTAACATACACAAAATAGACTACGTACAGTACCGTAATAAAAAAATAAAATAAAATTCTGAACAATTATTAACAGCTGGTGCTTGAGTGAAAGTGAAATGGTTTGCTGTAGTCTGGAGGGAGCTGCTGACAGTTGTTTTGTCCTGATGAACATCTGTCACCACCATGGTTCACCTTTAAAATCTTCAAGGTTGTTTTGGTGACCGTTTGTTCTTTCAATGATATCTGCACGGGGGAATTCCCCGCTGCCATCTTCTTTGTGTTTACCCACCAGTACCCCTCCCCATTTCAGTTTTTAAAAACTTGAAACATGGGAAGGTCCTCGTGACTCCAAGAGAATATGGTGCTTCATTGGTCATTCAGGCTGACTTCTGGTCACATGACCAAAGAGTGGGATTATGGGTAAAATGTATTTTTTCTCTGTCCATCATTAGTTGTTTTAACATATATACCATCGTTTTTTTTAGTGTTTAGTCTGTTGTTTTTTTTGCCTACTGGTCCTAGTTTGTGTTTTTTATGCGTTACATCATGTACTGTTAGCAGCAGTAACCATGAGTGAGATTGGTTCTTGTCATGAGCATGGGGTGTTCACTCTGCCACAATAACCTCCACCCTAAGAAGAGTGTGCCCTGGGCAACTACGAGCACCCACGTGTGTCCAAAGTAAATGTTTTTACATGTCAGGAAGCTTGTTAATCTGTCAAAATAAAGCGCAAAAATTAAAACAAATCCATTAATTATGTGACGAAGCTCGTTGGCCCATGGAAGACAAAAAAATTACAGTAAAATTTTTAAAAATGGATAATTCTATAAAAGCATGTGAAAAAAGTTGCAGCTTATACACCAGAAATTACGGTAGTCATGTCTGTTTTGGGTAAAGCAGATTTCTCTGTGGAGTTCCCAGCTCTGAAAAAAAATATACTCTAGATGTTTCCTTCAGTCCTGAGGTAGACTGTCCCTTTCCAGGAGGCGTCTCCTGATAATTCTGTCAAGGTGGGAGGCAGGAGACCCGTTTTTCAAATTAACCGTCAACCTCTGCGGTTGGAAGTTGGTAATGTTTTTAGAGGCAGCAAACTGTCCTTGGACATCTACACTGAATGTTGGCGAGCAGCGAGCACCGAGAACGTGATCTGGATGAAATGTTTAGAAACATTTTGGTGCTTGCACGGTTTGAAAAACTGCAATCTTATTTGTTAATTCCTTATAAACGTCTGTCCACATCGTACCCAACTTGGCTCTATTTGTACCCACTTTGACAGCTGCCCGCCACGATTTAATCCACTTTAGAAACAAAGGCAAAGCTTTGGACCAGTTTTTAAATGATTATGGTTTAGACAGACCCATTTTCCTCCATCTCCAGCACTTTTGAGGCGACACATTTCAAGTGGGTTTGGGACGCCGGCTTTAACTGCTGCTTTGATTTTTGGCTGCTCTGTAATCAGTAAATCAATCGTCTACAAAAATAACTTTCCACCGGCGCCCTGCTGGTTAACCTGGCCCCAACAATTCTGGTAAGGCAGTCGTACGATCCTGTAGGACATTTATTTGGACTTGGGACATGCCCCAAAAAGACCGTTCCAATGGCTGGTTTACAATTTATTATCATTTCCCCTAAAGGAATTCCAAAATTTCTTGAACACGGCAGCGCTGCAGACCTCCACGACTCACAACTGACTACACACCGTGCAGAAAACTTACTTTGAGCCAGCTGATAATCCGGGTCGTCCTCGGGAAGCTTCTTCAGGTAGTCCTTGAGCAGCATCTCGTAGCGTGGAACCCTCTGCACCGGTTCCAGCATGTGGTGCTGCAGGCTGAGGCTGCCGCACACATCCTGACTCTGGCACCGCAAACACAACGCCTCGCTCAGATCTACAGAGCAGACATGGATAAAACCGATCCACGGAGGCGTATGTGCTACCTGGATGTCCTGGATGATGTTCCTGAAGGCAGACGAGCATTTCGTCCAGGTCCTCAGCAGCTCCATGGCCTGGTCGAAGTTCTTCACGTAGTCGGAGTACATCCTCAGGAAGGGTGCGTGCTGCAGGAGAGCTTTACCCAGACCTGGACTTTCAGACCTGGATTTAAAAAGGGGGGGGGGGGGCAAAAATTAAAGAGACAGGCTTTACTGGATCTTACAAGTTTTAATTTTGACTTTCCGTTCACGTCTCAACCATTTTTATATTTGTGTGAATGCTTCATGTTAAATCTGCTTTAATACCTAAAAACTTTGTTCTGACGTCTCCCTGAACATTTTCAACTTTAACCTTTTTATGCCCCTTCAGCTTTTTTCAGTTAGTCTTGAAAATTGTAGATTTTAGTGACGTTTTGTCCATTTTATCTGATAGCTACAGCCGAGCTCCCTTTAGCTCGAACCCGAGCTCCCTTTAGCTCACAGCCGAGCTCCCTTTAGCTCACAGCCGAGCTCCCTTTAGCTCACAGCCGAGCTCCCTTTAGCTCACAGCCGAGCTCACTTTAGCTCACAGCCGCAGCCGAGCTCATTTTAGCTCACAGCCGCAGCCTAGCTCATTTTAGCTCACAGCCGCAAAAGAGCCCACTTTAGCTCACAGCTGCAGCAGAGTTCACTTTAGCTCACAGCTGCAGCCGAGCTCACTTTAGCTCACAGCTG